TGTGTATCATGGTCTCTGAGGACAGGTGTCAATCCATATCTGCCAAGTGACCTATGTAGGAGAACAGACGCTATTCTGCTCTGTGTCAGTGTGTATCATGGTCTCTGAGGACAGGTGTCAATCCATATCTGCCAAGTGACCCTATGTAGGAGAACAGTCTCTATTCTGCTCTGTCAGTGTGTATCATGGTCTCTGAGGACAGGTGTCAATCCATATCTGCCAAGTGACCCTATGTGGGAGGAACAGTCTCTATTCTGCTCTGTGTCAGTGTGTATCATGGTCTCTGAGGACAGGTGTCAATCCATATCTGCCAAGTGACCCTATGTAGGGGGAGCAGTCTCTATTCTGCTCTGTGTCAGTGTGTATCATGGTCTCTGAGGACAGGTGTCAATCCATATCTGCCAAGTGACCCTATGTAGGAGGAACAGTCCCTATTCTGCTCTGTGTCAGTGTGTATCAGGGATCCTTAGGACAGGTGTCAATCCATATCTGCCAAGTGACCCTATGTAGGGGGAATAGTCCCTATTCTGCTCTGTGTCAGTGTGTATCATGGGCTCTGAGGACAGGTGTCAATCCATATCTGCCAAGTGACCCTATGTAGGGGGAACAGTCTCTATTCTGCTCTGTGTCTGTGTGTATCATGATCTCTGAGGACAGGTGTCAATCCATATCTGCCAAGTGACCCTATGTAGGAGGAACAGTCTCTATTCTGCTCTGTGTCAGTGTGTATCAAGGTCTCTGAGGACAGGTGTCAATCCATATGTCAAGGTGTCAATATGTCATATGTCAGGTGTCAATCCATATTCATTGTGATTTAGGAATGTTAGGTGATTTCTGCCCTTTATGGATTAAAACCAGACTGCATCAACTGTGTAATTTTCCATGGGAGTTTTGCCATGGATCCCCCTCCGACATGCCACAGTCCAGGTGTTAGTCCCCTTGAAACAACTTTTCCATCACTATTGTGGCCAGAAAGAGTCCCTGTGTGTTTTAAAATTCGCCTGCCCATTGAAGTCTATGGCGGTTCGCCCGGTTCGCCGGTTCGCGAACATTTGCGGAAGTTCGCGTTCGCCGTTCGTGAACCGAAAATTTCGGGTTCGCGACATCACTAATAGAGTGTCATTAACAACTAAACAGCGTTATTTAATAAAGTGAGAATTGTTCGGAATTCAAAGAGAATTCATTGTAAATTTTAGACCAAAATATCTGAACTGGGTGTATAGCTGATTAGTGATTTATTTTTCAATCCATTTATTTTGACCTTATATTTGAAATTCCCTTTGAATTTACTTTGAATTCTTACAATTCTCACCTTAGTAAATAACCGTGACAGAGTCTGTGAACTATACATATACATATGCAGTCGAGTAGGATAAATCGTACATTTTATTCAAATATATACGCTAGTTACAGCTCCTCCTACTGTTGGAGTTTATAAAACCCACGTGTTATAATAATATATATGTCTGATGTTGCTACTCCAACAAAATTGAGGATTTCTGATTGGCTGAATCCTATTTGGACTTGATAACATTCACTGTTATCCAGATAAATGCAAAGACTTTCAGCAGAAACCTCACAGCATTTTTTGATTGTCTTGGAGTTGGACTCCTAATTATTCTTTTCAAGGTAAGTGTTATGTTTATATTCATATTGTAATATAAATGGATTATCTCTTTTCTATAAATACTTTTATATTCCCAGATGCCAACGCTGCTGCTTTGATGATCTTTTAACTATATGTTAGGGATAGTCCATAGATTTCATAGCTTGACCTTAACTGACTTAAATTGCATATTAATTGTGGTAAATATATTAGGAAATTTAATAAAATAAGATCAGATCTTGTTCTTTTAGATTGTCGTTAATTTCCTAGACTATTATCAATGTATATATTATTGACGTATTTTATTTAGTATGCAGAACTTGCTCTGTTTAAAGAATAAGAAATGTCTAGAAATGTTGCCACTCCACATTTTGTTTTATCTAAACAATTATACAAATAGTTTTTTTTTAACACATTTATTAAAATCACTAAACTGCAAATTGTGTAGATTTGATAAAGGAAATTGCAGATTTTAGACTAAATTGGAAACATTCCCAAGTTCAGCTATTTTAGCTTTAACATTTCAATGACTTTGTCTATTCCCTACAATTTCAATAATAAATCACCATGGGCTTTAATTACTGTCAATGAATTCTTTTTAGAATGAGGCTAGGTAGATCAAAGAGTTCTTCATAGATCAAAGAGTTCTTCATTCATGTTAACGAAGAGGTTGGAAGCTTATAAACTCTCAAGGTTCTATACCATGATTGAAAAAAGTACACCCCCTAATTTAGCCATACTTCATATAAATTGTACAGTACCCCCTCCCTCCCCAACATATTTTTATTTCAAAGCTTAGCTTAAGAGTAACAGAGCATTCTGGGAATTGTAGTTATTCAACAGACGGATTGCATTCTACCAGATGTAACCCCACTGAGGGCCAAGGTTATGTAAATAGCGTGTCATTGTCACATATCCGACACGTGCTTATTCCTTTAAGATTAGAATGCTAAAACAAAGAACAGATCACAGCAGGTGCTGGTTTAAGAGTCCTTCAAAGTTTTATTTGCCCTGAATATAAAGGCAAATTTATTAAGGGCCAGCAAAGGGAACACAGGACGACTTGGAAGAATGTGCATGCTTGAAATAGGACAAGACCTTGTGGAGAATGCATCTTTTGCATTCAGTCATTCTTTATTTTGGGTGATCTATATCTACTATAAACATACCTAAATTTAATTGTTTTAGGTACGTTTTTCAAATAATCACACTCTGGCCTTGATTCCATTAGTTTGAATCAGCATCACAAATGATTCCAATCTGTTAGAAAAAAAAAAAAATACACAAATGGTGACGTGTATGGATACATCATTTGAAAATGTTTTATTTGGTGCAGATTGTGATCATCTGAAAAAACTAATTATCCAAAAGAATTAAATTGAGGCCTATATTTGATGTTTGATCTATATAAAAGTGCTATTCAAGTTTAGAAATGGCTACAATGTATAAAACACCCACACCCTACCAAAGTATAAATAAATAGATTAAAGCGTTCTGTGGTTAAATACATTCCTGGCACTTCAAGAACCACAGCCACTGTATTTCACTGTATATTTAATGCTGTACAGTAACCTGTAAGGTGCTAATTACACCTCTGTGTGCAATATAATTAAAACATACATACTTACTGTACCTCACTCTACTGTAATGTAACCTGCTAATTACACCTGTTAGCTCTCTATAGCCATATACTTATCATTATATATATATACAAACACTATATCTGTGCATGGCAAAAAAAAATAAATAGGTTTGGACTAATTGATTTGTCTAAAAAAACATTGTTGGGATCTGTGCTTCAGTTCAGGCAAATTTTATCCTTGAGATCATTGTAAAAACTAATTTGGCAAACCAAAAGAGCACGAGAATGGGCCAATCGGTGTGCTGCAAAATATATACCTAAAATAAATATCATGTATATATTTCAAAGTGCACTAATATGCGCAAATTCACAACTCTTGATTCACAGATCAATTGGGAACAAGTGAAGAATAGAGAGATAAAAGAGGAGGAGCGATAGAAAAAAATCTGTATTTATATATTATATATTTATTAAATATATCATATACGAATATTAAGGATGTGCATGGGCAAAAAATTCAGTTCAGTTCAGCACTTCGAAATTCGGGACTTCGGCAATTCGGCACTTCGGTAACGCACTTCCGAAATTTGGATCCGAATGTCCGAATTGACGAAATTCGGACGAATTTAAATTGCACGTCTAACGAATATATCATTACGGATTTTTCTTATTGCTCATCCTTTTACTCCGATTGGTTACTTCTTACTTGATGGAACTCAGAATCAGGAATCAAACAAAACTGTTCATCCATTGTCCATTTTGTTTGTTTCTTTATTGGTCCATATCTCAATATGGAGTCTCTGAAATCAGAAGAACCTCCGATTGCCCCGAATTTGGACAATTCGCAATTTGTTTGAAACTGAATGCACTAAGCCTAACAAACACTGTTTACCTAGTGCACCTACTGTAACTCACTGTAATGTAACCTGTAAAGAGGCAAGCAATCCTGTTAAGTTAGGATTATGCAAGGCTTTTGCAAAGATATAATATACTCTTTTAAAGAATGTTTAAAGAATTTGAACGCTAAGTTGGTTTGCCACGTTAATGTCGGTAATTATCGTTTGTGAATTTCTTCTGTCATATTTTCCTTGCAGACAAAACAATGGGCTTCTTCACGTGTATCAAACTTATAATGGTTGTATTCAACCTGCTGATATTTGTAAGTATCAAACCTCTTTCCTTGTGCAGTCTATACTGCCAGCGTAAAACCTTGACATCCTGCTACATTTAACACATACACCACATGAGAACTGGTATCACAGAGAGGATAATGATACCTGTTTATTTTATGGTTCTTAACTAGAACACTCACCAGTCAATTAAAGAGAAGATGGAAATGTCTCAATTAAGAAAAAAAAATATTTTATATTGTGTGTGTGTGGGGGGGCAGTGTGTGTATGGGGGCAGTGTGCCTGTATGGGGGCAGTGTGCCTGTATGGGGGCAGTGTGTGTGTGTATGGGGGGGCAGTGTGTGTGTATGGGGGGCAGTGTGCCTGTATGGGGGGCAGTGTGTGTGTGTATGGGGGGCAGTGTGTGTGTATATGGAGGGCAGTGTGTGTTTATGGAGGGGCAATGTGTGTCTATAGGGGGGAAATTAATAAATATAAACTTTTTTTAATTAAAAAAAATTATAATTTTCATATCACCCCTCCCCACTTACCTTTGCTTCGGAGGGGGGGACAGTACTAATCCCTGGTGGTCCGGTGGAGAAGCCCTGGTGACTCCTGAGGCTCAAGTGCACCCTTGCAAGATTAGGAGTGTTGCCATGGTAATCGCGGCAACGCTACAATTTGGCAAAAAGAGAACCCGGCGGAGCTGCAGATTAGAGCTTTCCTGGGTCCTCTCTCCCTCCCCTGTGAGGAACGGTTTCCAGTGCTATTATCATAGCACCAGGGAAATATTTTGCAGCGGTACTGCGGCACACAGTTTGGGAACCGCTGTCCCATATTAAACCTTTTCCACATAACTCCCCCAAAACGTATGATCACCTGTTTCTGGAAATATAGAATTCTCACATATCTTAGAGGTGAAAATGTGATATCTATGGGTATCTAGAAATATAAGGGATTTTTTCTAGCAGTGATTCTTTTATGTTTTAAATAAATTACCTTTTAGATCTTGCAATCTGTAAATTGCAAAAAATATATAATTTACTAGATTTACTAGTGTCACAAAACTGATTTTAAAATATATAAGTGATATAACATTATATGAGTTAGATATAAATGACGTTTAATATAAAATAAACATGTCAAATTTATTTTTTTATATATTTTTTCTCTCTGTAGCTTGGCGGAGGGGTTCTCCTTGGAGTAGGAATCTGGGCTACTGTGGACAGTAACTCTTTCGTACATATATTTGTATCGATTTCCGCTGAAACTGCTACACAAATTCTAAATGTTGCATGTCTTCTTATTGCCATCGGAGCAGTACTTGTTGTGATCAGCTTCCTGGGGTGCTATGGAGCTCAGCAAGAGAGCCAGTGCCTTCTAATTACAGTAAGTGACCTGTCTACCATGGATAAAGATAACATGAATACTGAGATTGGTATCCGTTATAGGTTTTATGTACCTACTTGTTTTTATTTACACAAGTACAGTAGTTTATATCTATGTTAAAGGGATACTATAGGCATCAAAACAAGTTTTGCTTAATGAAGCAGTTTTGGTGTATAGATCAAGCCCCTGCAGTCTCATTACTCAATTATCTGCCACTTAGGAGATAAATCACTTGTTTCCAGGGTTAAGGGACCTGGGACACTGCACCATTGCACCAATGAGCTGAAGTGGTCTGGATGCCTACAGTGTCCCTTTAACATTGAACGCCTGTGAGCGGAAGACCTGTTCCACTATCTTGGCTGAGGGTTGAGTATATTGGGTCATTATTGGATTGACCATATTTTCTCCAAAATTAAATGCTTTTAATACCACGTCTAAAAATGACCAACCCACCCAGGAAAAATGCTTTCTCAGGATCTAACAATAGGATGGCCAGTGGGATTTTATATTCTGAAGCGTAGTCAATTATATCAATGATCTTTCTTGTATTTGGTTGACGTCCCTTTGCAAATCCTTCTTGATCTTTATAAATGAACTGTGGAATTATGCGTTTAATCCTCTCCATCAAGACAGTGGAATATATCTTAACGTCACTGTTAATAAGCAAAATTGGTCTATAGTAGACCAACAGAATTTTTTTAGTACTCCATAATCGGAGTTTAATTTTTCTTGTGCAGGAATATATTATGCAAAGAAGAATAATAATCTCTAAATGAAGAGACAATCCAATTGTGGGTCCTACAAATCTTACAATCTGTTATATTCTCAAAAAATCTTTCATTTAGGATTTTTTTTTAGTTGTTTAGATACAAATGTTTCTATCCACTTAACTAAATTATTACAATAGTGAGGAGATAAATACCAGTCCCTACTCTAGATATATTTTAGTAAATTGCTCTGTAAATTGAACTTTAGTTAAACACGGAAGGCTCTTGACGTGCCTATAAGGCATTAAGCAAAGAAGGAGAGAAGAAATTCTAGTTTAAAAACTGTGCAATACAGGAACCTAAAATATCTAGGTTCCTTTTCAGGAAGTGTTTAGAAAGGCTGTGCAAGTCACATGTATAGAGGTGTGGCCATGGCTGTATAAACAAAGTGATTTAACTCCTAAATGGCAGAGAATTGAGCAGTGAGACTGTAAGGGCATGATCTATACACCAAAACCACTCAATTCCAGCTAAAATTGTTTTGGTGACTATAGTGTCCTTTTAAGGCATTTGTGTGTTTACACTCAGGTAGTATGACCTCAAAGTAGATGAACTCAAAATTCTCTAAAATAGTAGTATTGCCTCGAACTTTAAACATGCACATTTGCATTAAGAGAAACAGACTATATTCTACTAAACATCACTGGGTTTCACATCTCCAGTCTCTCTGAATCTCAGGGTTTTTTTTAACTTGACCCGGTTTAGCTGTTTGGAATGAACGTGTACATACTCAAACTAAGCAGGGATTATCATATTTAATTTTTATTTTATTTATTTATTTTTTTCACTCCTAAATACTTTCAAGGATTTTAACTAAAGTGATAATTCAAGGTGAATTCAAAGTAAATTTCAGATTTAAGTTTAAAATAGTCATCCATGCCTTTAGTTTGTCTACTCTGGCCTTAAATTTAAAATTCACTTTGAATTCTAACTGTAGTGAATAACCCTGTTAGTAATGATTTAACCATAATGTGAATATGACCATGCTGGTGCCTGGCTGGTGCACACATTAAACCTCCTCCAACTTCTTACACTTACTTCATTACATGGGAGTCTTCTGTTTCTTGTACTGACACCCTTACAGTTCCGAGATACATTGTGTTTTTCCTTAATCTTTTTCAGTTCTTCACAGTTATCCTGATTATCTTCGTTGCACAGCTAGTTGGTACTGTGATAATTTTGGTTAATCCATCCAAGATAAGACAGGTAAGGCACTTTTGGAAGAAGACACTTTAAACAGTAATTTAAAGGACCACTATAGGCACCCAGACCACTTTAGCTCAATGAAGTGGTCTGGCTGCCAGTTCCATCTAGTGTTAACCCTGCAGAGAAACTGCTATGTTTACACTAGGGTTAATGCAGCCTCTAGCGGCTGTCTCATTGACAGCCGCTAGAGGCGCTTCCGTGCTTCTCACTGTGAATCTCACAGTGAGAAGACGCTGATGTCCATAGGAAAGCATTGAGAAATGCTTTCCTAGGGAATGACTGAATGCGCGCGCATGCGCATTCAGCGCTGACGTCAAAAGAGGGAGGAGATTTCCCCAGCGCCGAGGATTACCCTGAGGGTGGGGGGGACCTAAAGACCCTATAGTGCCAGGAAAACGAGTTTGTTTTCCTGGCACTATAGTGGTCTTTTAATGATAGAATTTATGGGAATTTTCCTAGTTTGTGTTAGCCAGCCCTATATCATCCGCTGAGTTTAATCTCGGGGAAAAAAATTACCTTGTGTTTGGATATTCTCTACCGATCTCCTCTAATCTATTCTGAATCAGTTTAATCCAGTAAATATCTATCTCCAAATGCATTAAATACTGTCTCCTCCCCTGCAGGTGTGTCCATATGCCAAGAGACAGCATGGATTTAAGATGATCTGCAGATCTAGCCTCATAGTTTAAAGGGACGCTATAGTCACCAGAACAACTACAGCTTAATGTAGTTGTTCTGGTGAGTATAATCATTATATGCAGGTATTTCATGCAAACACTGCATTTTCAAAGAAAATGCAGTGTTTACATCCCCCCTAGGGACACCTCCACGTGACCACTCCTCAGATGGCCACTGTAGGGGCTTCCTGGTTCAGTGCTGCACAGTAGGCAGCACTACCATTCAGCGTCTCCATGCCTTGCGCGGGGACGCTAAATTTTCCTCATAGAGATGCATTGATTCAATGCATCTCTATGAGGAGATACTGATTGGAAAAAGTGGTATTTGGCCCCGCCCATTTCCTTCCTCCTTGCCGATTTTAGCCAATCCAATGCTTTCTCTATTGGCTAAAAATCTGCAATTCTGATGATGTCACCAAGGAGGTGGAACGGGGGCAGGACCATCGCTGGCGGATGCGCGGCGCTTGAAATAAGGTATGTTTTAATTCCTTTTAAGAGGTTTAAGGGGGGGGGGGGCAAGCCACCTAAATGGTGGGTTTAACACTATAGGGTCAGGAATACATGTTTGTGTTTCTGACCCTATAGTGTTCCTTTAATGTGTAGGGGGTATTCTGGCTGAAGGTTTTGTCTAGCACCTCCTGTTGGTTGGAGGCTGCCTTACATGGCGTGTGTGTTCAGTACAATCTGAGTGAATTACACTTTTGGAGTGTCATTGCCATTATAGACTCTTGCCTTTCACTGTCTTTTCTGCCAGTTGTGTTCATTTAGTGGAAATTGTCACTTTTAATACCTAGTGACATCACTAAAATGGATTGTAATAAAGGAGTTTTAAAGAAGCACATGAAGATTATAGATTATTTAGAGCTTCAAGAACCCAGCTCTGCTCCCCTTATCAATTGTATTAACGTAACATGTGGCTTTAAATTCTCTCCCCTCTTTTCTATGGTTTTATACTTTTATTTTTCACATCTCTAGGCAGAAGATGAGCTGAAGACTCTTCTGAAACCTGTGCTCCAAGAGGAATATGGTACAAATGAGCAAGTGACAAAACTGTGGAATGGGACCATGAATGATGTAAGAAGACTGTGCCCAAACTGCCTATTACAAACAATTATCCTCTGTCCAACTGACACAAAACATTCTCAATATATCTTTTCAGCTCAAGTGTTGTGGTCTAAGTGGGTATGAAGACTTCATCAATTCAAACTATGTCAATCTCAGTCATGTCTATCCTTCTCAATGCTGCAACTCCACCGTGATGACCTGCACTAAGACAAACGCGCAAGCTTCTGATGTACAGGTAGATAGGACAGCGCTACTTAATAGCCATTAGATAAATGTCACAGAAAAAAACACACACACAAAAAGTTCTTATTATACCAAAATGTAAATAATAAATATATGTTTCTTAAAACAGCAATAATTGGTATAGGTAGATACATTTTGTCACGCAACAGGGATTTACAGAAGTGCTTCCATTTCTTGTTAAATAAATGTGATTTTAATTAGATATAATAATGTCCCGTTGAATTTATGGTGTCTTGTGTCAGCTGCCACGGGTGGCAGCCAACTTGTCAAATCTATTACCGCTGTGTGAATTTAATGAAGCTGTTACTGAGATTTTATTTTATTTTAATGCTCAATAGGTTAAATTGATAATAATTGGTAGCAGCTAACATTGGGCTGTATTATATGAACAGAGTAGATCTAATGGTGGCTGAGTTCTGTTTTCGTACTTTGTACTGATAACAGAGGAATAACATAAGTTCTTTCTGGAGAGAGAGAATGGTCAGGTATTGGAGGGATTCTTGTTGAGAAGTAGATGTTTGGGGTTATAATATCTATTGAGGCGGGATGGGGATGTCCAATGTGATTGCTTAGGAAGAATCCTAGATGTGCAATGTTACAGAGATTTTATGGGTGACATATATCGGAAATAACTCAGAATCCTGTACGAGAGAACCTTCAGGGGTAAGATATATTGTGTCTTTAAAGTGATTCATACCTTAGAGGCAATGTTTGTGGATACTATTAGGAATTTGGCTATGAAGCCTCTCTGTAAAATGACAACATATTTTGTAGATCCAATGTAAGGTGTGTCAGGAAAAATTGTACAAGGGGAGCATTTATGTTTGTCCAAACGTAAACTGTGCACATAATAGGAACTTCAATGAAAAACATTTGTGGACAACATGGAGAGGGCTTGAAGAACATAAAGAAGGGCAACGCAATGAACTTTACTAGAAAAGTATTCTTTCATTTCTTCTTTAGGGTTGTTTTGAGAGTGTCCTGGCCCTCATCCAGAAGCATATACCCATAGTGGGTGGTGTGGCGGCTGGCATCTGTGCTTTGGAGGTAAGAGGAGAACCCGACACTAATGAGAGATCATTTTAGGCAGTGATTTAACTGAAGAGAGTTTCTGTTTGATTTTTTTTTTTAAATACCGACCTTCATTTGCAAACTGATCAACAGGGCCATTAGGAAGTTCCTTGAAAATATTAATATATAAAAGTGTTTTCAGCTTACTTGCAGTTGAGGAAGACTAGTTTCTATATGTGAATATATATAACAGGCCTAATGTATTTTGGGAATATGTGTAAAATAGCGGACATTGTGATAACTGTCCTGCTTAATTTTTAAAATATTTTAAAGTATATGGAACTGGAACTGATGGATATGTGAATTGATCGAAATGGCTGAAACATGACTTTGTAGTGTTGGAGATTGTGAGATGACATTTATGCCAGGATGCCAGTTATTTCCCATTGTCTGACCATATTTGGTGCCATGTTGCATGCAGTACATTGGACACACACTGACGTTCTAAGAGCAATACCCAAGGCACCATCTCAAAAATATTGATTGTTTCCATTGTAATTCCAACAGTAAATGGAAAGTGGAGTGTTTTGTTTCTTCTACAATATTAATATTTGAAAGACCAGAGTATGTTGAAAATTACCATTTTTTAATGTATTAGATATACACTGATCAGCCACAACATTACAGCCACTAACAGGTGAAGTGAATAACATTAATTCTATTGTTACAATGGCACCTTTACAGGGGTGGGATATATTAGGCAGCAAGTGAACAGTCAGTTTTTGAATTTCATCTGTTGGAAGCAGAAAAAAATGGGCAAATATTAAAGGTTAGACAACTGGGTCAGAACATCACCAAAACGGCAACTCTTGTGGGTTGTTCCCATTATGCAATGGTTGGTACCTACCAAAAGTGGTGCAAGGAAGGATAAACAGTGAACCGGCTTAGCCGCAGTCCATTCAGGGTACCCATGATGACCCCTGTCCACCACCAAAAGTGCCGTCAGCAGGGGACATGAGCATCAGAACTGGACCAGTGCTGCCAGGTCTGATGACTCATGTTTTGTTTTAGTTCAGGTGGATAGCCGGGTGTGTGTGTATTGTTTACCTGGGGAAAAGATGGCATAATGGGAATAAAGCTAGCTGGTGGAGTCAGTGTTAAGCTCTGGGTAATGTTTTGCTGGGAAACCTTGAGTCCTGGCTTTCATGTGGATGTTTCTTTAACATATACCACCTACCGAGTGATTGTTGCAGACCTGATGGCCTCTTTCAGCAGGATAATGCACCCTTCCACACTGCAAACATTTTTCAGGAAAAAAATCTCAATCCAATTGAGCACAGTGGAATGTGCTGGAACAATACATCCAACCCATGGAGGCCCTACCGGTGTTGTCATTAATGCTTAACAGTTGCATTTTACTGACAAGCATGGAAATTAGCCTTCAATGTTTAATAAACCACCAGGTTCTAACATGTTATATATTTTTTCAGAATATTTCAAACACATGGATGCTATCTTTTATAAAACTTGTATTTAATTGTTCTCTTTCTCAGTTGGCAGCGATGATGGCATCCATATATCTCTACTGTCAACTAGGCGACGCTGGAAGCATGCACTAACTACAAGAAGAAAGGACCTGCTTTACAAAAACTATTTCTATGTATTTAGTATTTTTTTCTCTGTGTTGACATTTATATACAAAACCTAATATCAACAAAATTGCAATATGAATACAGTTTGGCTCGGCTAAGGAACCTAATGGCACTTTTCGGTGGCATCTAAATACCAGCTAGTTTGTTACAATGTCATTGCTTTTTAAACACTTCATTACTGAGGCGTGATTGGTTATATCTTAGTGTATTTCACATCTTTACTATGAAGGTATTTGAAAGTTAAATGGCCACAATTTTTTGTGTGAGTCAATACGTATGACATTATCTTTGTAGATCTTTAAAAAAAAGTTAAAATGTAATGTAGTTAAATACCACAATGAAATATGTTAATTTATTTTGTTTTCAAATTGTTAAAATTATGAGAAACTTCTATACAAAGAGTTGGATGTGTGATTTTGCTTTCTGCATTTGCGAAATATGTAAATAAATAAATCCAAACGGGATAGAGTCTTTTTGTGTTCACTTTATTAATATGGTTATTTATTTAAAATAAATTGTTTGAAATTCAAAGTGAATTTCAAATTTTAGACCAAAAAAAACAGAAAAGCTGAGTTATAGAATTTTTCCTATTTGTATATTTTTTGCCAAAAGTTTGCAATCCCTATAGAAGGAGCTTACATCCAAACATCTGAAGCACTTTAGCTTGCTGAATACCTTTATGTGTGAAGAATGTGTCCTCTTTTTTTTATTTAACAAAAAAGGCAGATTTAAATAGAAATAGACCCTTTTATAAATTAACCTGGTTACACCACCCAGCTGTCAATCAGACACTCTGCCAAGTTACTTCCTGGTTTGTCTTGGTGGAATTAAACTCAAGAGGCAACAATTGCCCAGAGCACCTGCCTTGCAAAGACTTCTCATTGAGCTGCATTGGGAAGCCTGTGATTGGACAGCCACAGAAAGTCAGGGCGGGGTTAGAATGAGAACACAGTGATCTGTTCCTGGACCCGCCCCTCAGACTGACAGTGTGATCTCCTGGAGGGAGAGAACTGGGGACAGAATGGACAAGTCAAAAATTACATATAATGCGCTTGAGGATTCTGTGCCAACAGGCGCTCGTGATGTAAATCTGGTCTTGAAGAGTTCTCTAATTTTTGCAGGCTGTTTTTAGATACATTTATGAAAAAAAATACATAATTAAAATGCATGTTTTAATTTGAGTATATAGTGATTGATTGCTTGATTGATTGATTGATTTTGTTTGGGCAGTGAAGTGTCCATTTAATATATGACCTGAGATTATAGATCTTCTTTGCGTAAAGTGATCAGCCACACCCCAAATATTTTCTCTTACTGGAAGGGGTGTAGATTCAGTAAATGGATAATAAATTGCACATGTGCTAAATTATGTGGCATCATAAATACACAGAGTACAAACATTGCTATGTGTATCACACCTATTCTGGGCAAACATTCTGGACTGAAGGACTTTAAACACCCATGTTCTGCATTTTTATGCTGACGGCAATTTTTCTTTAGAATTTTTTTTAATCAGAATTAAGGAAGTGACTTGATAATCAACAGCTCAGGATTTTCTTTCATGTATTTGTTATTTAATTACAAGTTGTACTTTGTTCAGTGTTTTTTTTTGGCCCTGGATGCTATTACATGATGCAAGAGTTATTGTTTGAAACTGGTCTAGATTTTTATTTGTGTTTGTGCGTGTGTGTTTGTTTATGTGTGTGTGTGTGTGTGTGTGTTTCTGTGCGTGTGTGTTTGGATTTTCTTGATCTGATACTTGGTATAACAATTGGTATAACAGCGAAAGTTTATTTTCTATTAAACCATGGAGATGAACTGTTTAAATATATATCTTTAAATTCCAGGGTTCAGACTCATATTATGGCCTTTCTCTGCTTTTTCCCGAAAGCATTCAATCCCTTGAAGGTGTAGGGGTGTGTGCGAGTGTGTGTGTGTGTGTGTGTGTGTGTGCATGCATGTGCGTGCGTGCGTGCGTGTGTGTGTGTGTGTGCATGCATGTTTGGGTCTCACATGCGTCAAGGTCCCAGGCAAGAAATGCCTCCTCCTATCAGCCAGGAAGTCTGGAGCCATCATCCACATTTTTGGATTAGAAGTCCTTGTGTAACTATTTATTTGCAAATGTACAGACCACTCACTAAAGGGACACTCTAAGCAGCATATTGACTACAGTGCAGTTTAGCATTATAGCACCAGAAGCCCCCTGGTATCGTCTGATGATATACTGCCAAGCTGTTTAAGAATGGATGACATTTCCCTATCTCTGTCAAGCTCCTTTGGTCCTTCTGGTCTGGACTTGAAGATAAAATGGAAGTTCATGCTGAGAACCTGCTGATGGCTTTCATCCACTTAATAATGTCCCAGGATGCTATGAGTTGGAATGACACTTATCACAGCCCCTATCCCCACTCCCTCCCCCTTCACAGGCCCTGCCCCCCTTATAAAAGCCTCTATACACATTAACACAGCAACTAGCACCCCCCCCAATATAAGCCTATTATGCCCCCAGCACAGCCCCTCTACACTTGCTATCCTCCACTACAGCATCTATTCCTTCCATCACTGCCCATATTCCTGCCCCATCAAAGGCCCAATCCCCCCATCATACTCTCTATTCCCACATTACAGTCATAACCCCACACACAATGCATCTAGTTTCACCGTCATACACTACAGCCTATATTTTCCCGATACACTACAGCCACTATCCCCTTATCACAGCCCTTATTCCCTCACCACAGCCTATATCTCCCATATACTATAGCCTCTATCTCCCCTATATACAATAGCCTCTATCCCCCATATACTACATCCTTTATCTCCCATATACTATAGCCTCTATCCCCCATATACTACATCTCTTATCTCCCCTATATACTATAGCCTCTATCCCCCATATACTACATCTCTTATCTCCCCTATATACTATAGCCTCTATCCCCCATATACTACATCTCTTATCTCCCCTATATACTATAGCCTCTATCCTCCATCTACTTCATCCTCTATCTACCTTATAGACTACATCCTTTATCTCCCCCGTACACTACAGCCACTATGTCCCTATACTACATCTCATATCTCCCCCAAACACTACAACCTATATCCCCACATTAGAGCCCCTATTCCCTATATACTACAGCCCCAATTGCCCTCATGTACCACAGCCTTCCTCCCCCACCCATACACTACAGTCATAATGTCCCCCACATACACTACAGCAATTAACATCGCCACACACAAAGAAACACTACAACCCCTCTCCTCGCACACTACACATCTAACAGGCATCTCCGAAAACTAATATACAATGTATATGGGGATACAAATCTACAGAAGAAATACAAATATACTGTAATACAGTTAAAGAATCATTGATTAATTGTGCTGTTTAAAATGTACACAGAAGATACAATGGTGATACACATCTCTGGATGCATCCCTTGAAATTCTTTGGGGTTATCCAATGTCAACTTTCCCCCAGACTGTCACCTCCACACCAGGACCAATTGTGTCAGGACACAGACTAGGTTTCAAGTAACTGAATTTATTATAAAGTATAAAATACAAATAAAGTGCAGTGTTCCTATACATTTCACCCCAATATTACCAATAAAGTGTAAAAAAACATAAAAAATAAAAGCAATTCCCAAAGAAAACATATCTGTATACACCCCCTCCCCAATTCTTCCTTACATAGGGCTAATCCCGTCATCCTATTGGTGACATAGTGGGCGTGCCTCCATTCAGCAGCTGTTTCTCTTGTGATTGCCAATTTTGCCAAATCACAGCGCCCCTTGCACAGCTCTGGCCTGCTCCTGCCCATTACAGCTCGTCACTTATGGAGCGTCTGTTCCTCATTTGCGTTTGGGTTCCATTATCTTTCTATATTTCCTTTTCTTGCGGCACCATTTGTTTTCTATTTACTGTCCTCGGGCATTTTATCATCCCTAATATTGTTTAATTAACCTCATATGCCTATTGAACATATAGATAATGCATGACTCAGTGGTATATTGGGTAAACATATTGTAAACATATATCCCCAGACATTACGCTGCTGCAAACAGTCTCAATTCACAGACACACACCCCCAGAAGTACTTCCACAAATGATATTCCACATATGGGGACACCAGAGACATGTCACCATCAATCACAGAACAATAATGTCATTAAATATGTTTGCACAGTGCTAAACAAGCGCAGGGTGTCTTCCTTATGTCATAGCCCTTCAGCAAGGTTCTGCGCATAAGCGGTCCCAGAGGGGATCAAATTCACATTCCCACTTTGGGAAGTGTGCATGTCATTGGTGATGACACAACATACCCGTCCCTGGCCCTGGTCCTGCCCCCATGGCTCCCATATTGGGAGAGTTCACCATCAACACTTCCGAATTAAGGTCATGCCTCAAGATATCACATACCAGCAAACGGGAAGACCACTATGTACTTTCTCTGCAACATACCAAGACCAGTCAACCAGGTCAAACAGTAAAGTTCCTTATTACCCAACAATAAACCAATGGTGTCCAGTAAAGACACTAGATATATATCGACACGACTTACCATCACCTTCAAATCAACCTTACCATACAGGGGGCCATTCTCACTACAAGCAAATTCATGCTTTACATTAAAATCCTATTAATGAGACTAGGTCTCAACCCCTTACACTATTCCGGACACTCCTTCAGGATAGTCATGACCTCGGCAGCCTCCCACAGGAACATCCCTACCAATATTATAAAGTAATTGGGGCGCTGGAAATATTCAGCCTACTGTAGATACATTCCTCAACCAGAGAAGGAATTTAGACAAGCATTCCAACATTTAGCATTTTGATAGTCTGTGTTGTAATAATGTGATTGTTGATTGAATAAAAAAATAAATTGGCATACATCCTCTTTTGCCCACTTTATTTACAGGTCTACTGATACATTGGTTTCGGCACACCAGAACCGAATGTTGTATACCTCTACATGTATCATAAGGTATCAAGTACCAGATACGGCTTTATTGCCCCGAGCACAAATATATATTTTAAAAGATAGTTGTTTAAAAGTGAGCGATTATACAGGACTATGGACATTATTAATAATAGCTGGATCAGAAACAAATCTGGCTGGTATTATGTCGTAAATTAGGAATTATAAATGTTTTCTTCGTTTTGTGTGGATCAACAGCAGTTATTGCAATATATGGACCAAAGTGGGGTCTCCTTCCCTCAGGGTCTCCTTCCCTCACTTCCTTCTGCTGCTTCAGCAACACAGTGTACAGTGATTTTAGCAGTGCAAAAAGCCCACTTTCCCATACACTAGTCGAAACTACTTAGCGAGGGTAGAACAAGAACTGATTTATTAGCCAAACATACAAATAGTTATACAAGTTTGAATGTCTATTCACCCTCCAGGAGGTGATCTGTATAACGAAAGACAATTCTTCTTTTATTTCAATCTTGTAGAATACTGCTCCTGAGGTCTATTTCTTAAAAAAGAAAAAGTGCAGTTTTTTTAGGCATTCCATGTTATATTCATATCACTGTATATTGTTACAAATTGTATGATGAAATGTCTGGTGCACTAAAGTGTCAGGAATACAGTTTTGCATTCCTAACACTATAGTGTTCCTTTAATTTGTGAGTTCTCACTAACCATTGCAATGTTTACAAACAGTCCCCCACATCATCCAATTATTTTTTGTAAATCTATTTTTATTTTTTTCTAACATAATACCGAAAAGAGAGTGGGAAAGATGCAGATGTTGGACTGATTAAAGGGCAGCACGCCATGTCAGGAGCAGGGAATTTCTTTACCAATATTGGGAATTTCTTTACCAATATTGATGATAGAATAAAAAGATAAAGTCTACCCAGCCTATGAAAAGTGCATCACTGTGGAAATAAAAGGATTTCAGAATTGCAGCCATGGATTACAGAATTGCAACACACAACCTAGAAGGAAGTTATCGCCCCAGAATTTGTACGGTAATAATGGACTCACCATATAATTGAGAGGTAATAAGTGCACACTCAGTAGCATGAGGGACTGCTGAATTAGTTACACACATTGCTGAGAACCAGTATGTTCACCTGTGACACAGGTAACTGGGACATTGAAACTCAGAAGCTGTTAAGGAACTTGCAAAGCGGTATTTAGCAGAACACATGATAATATCATCATGTCACAAAGTATTGCAAATATGTTTTCTGCAACAAAAGAAAAGTTTTACATACTCCACAAAGCAGGAAAAATGCTCAAAAACAACTAAAAATCATATGACACATTTACCCATAATAGGTATCGAACCACGAGGGCAGTAACAAATATTTGGTGACATTTATTGTTGACTAAACCTGATACACTATGCTATTGCTATTAAAGAACAAAAAAAGACTCAGAGAAAGATTTGCAGCCATTATCAGCAACAAACACCAATGGAAACAGGAGAAATCCCCGTGGACAAAGTAGCAAATAGTGTCACATATCCAGCTGACACTTTTCCCTCACCTGGTGCTCAGCGGCCGGAAGCTTGCAGTGCTGACTGTCTCAGCATACAGTCTAGCACCGGCCGTTGCACATCCACGGGAAGAAATAACCCTGCGCGCACGTGACCGAGGGTGCACATGAACGCGCACGCGCACCGCACACGCACATTTTGGAGCCATAATACCGGGCTGACCAATGGGAAAGGGAGGACGGATATAAAAACCTAGTCTGACCTCCACTCAGTGCCCTGTCGTGGTTTCCCATGTGGTTGTCCGAGAGCGCGTTCCTGTTTATAGTTTTCTACTGGTTTTTGACTTTGGCTTTGTTTATTGACTTCTCTGTATTCTGGTATCCTGACTCCTGGCTTTCCTTATCGTTGCGTCCCTTTCTGTGTTCCCTGACCTCGGTTAGTATTTTGACTATTCTATGTACGTTAAATCCGGCCATTCTAAGGACCGGTAATACGTTACTTATTAGTCATTAAGGCTATACAGTTCTACGTGCTGGATCATACAATAATCCTGATAAATAGACAAGTAAGAAAATACAGAGAACGAGGCATCAAACACGATGGCAGAAAGTATAATACATCGAGTGACAAAGAGCAGATGTGTACTGGCAGAATCCAAACTTTCCAATAACTAATATTTTACCAGCTCCGAACTGCAAAACAGGCAGCCATCAAATGCGATCCAGAAAATCCCACGTGAATTATGGGACGGTTCAGAGCACATTATGGAGCCCATTGGGATAAGTACATTTTAAGTGGAAACCATTCTGATTATCTGTAGATTACTAATGTCCCAATATGTTGAGGTGCTATATTTAATGAAAACTGGGAAACAAACCATTTGTATTTAATGAGAATTGCAGAGGAATCTTCCTGCTAACCAAGATAAATCTGACATAAATAACGCTGCCCGCACTATTACATGAGTGCATGAAAACAAAATGGCGGACACCTGTGAAGAAATATGAGTTGTGATAAAGTGAAGGCAGATAGGCCTTTTAACCCCAGGGGGAGTATGTGTAGGATGTGTTGTAGGCAACACAAAACGCTGTTTAGTTATGGGCCCCTGGGGTGGAGCATTTGGAGAGCAGGGTGGGCCAATGCTCCACTCCACAGTTTAGTGGTTTTCTGGGGAGACATGGATCCAGGCCAGGGTTTTTTGGATCGTCTCCAACCCATTGCTCAGCTGCAGTTAATGAGCTGTTGCAGTGGGAATAAACCCCAACCGGCTAGGCAGGAAAAGGAGAGGGATTGCTTGCTTCCTCCCAGGAAGCAGGTAGGAGAGAGGCTGTTCTCTCCATATAGAGGCACTGGGAGTGCAGAAAGGAAGCAGTTAAGGCTGGCTTGGAGCACTGGGAGTGCTGGAGGAAGCAGTCAAGGCTGGCTTGGAGCACTAGGAGTGCAGAAAGGAAAGCAGTCAGGGCAAGGCTGGCTTGGAGCACTGGGAGTGCAGAAAGGAACGCAACAGGCTAGCCAGCAGAGTGTTGCTAACTAATAAGGTTGGTGCCATATGTTTTGTTAGTTTAACCCTGATAGAGAGGGACGTTCAAAGTGAGTTAGTGCTCAGACCGAGCTAGGTTTTTGTTTATAGGGTTTTGTGTTACATTTGTTTTCATTTACTGCTGTATCCTGTGTGGATTTGCAAATAAAGTGCCTGAGTATATGAAATTACAAGGACTGTGCATGTTTTTACCCTAGAGGGCCGTGCTACCTGCAAACAAGGATCACAGAGTGTATAGGTAAACTCCTACAACAAGAAGGGTCTCACCCTAGAAATTGTCCTATAATCACGAAAAAACATCTGAAATACATGAATCGACAATCTGGGAAGATGTGTAAAAACAGAATGAATGAAGTGTTCACAAAGAGATCATATTAAAAGCTGTCTCACATGCACACGCACACACACACACGTAAAGTCACGGATGTGCTGTTTAAACAAAAGCAGAAAGTGAATGAGCATTGCTTTCCTTTAAATAAACCCTCACACCCTCCTGGAGATCTTTCCACAGGTACAGAACTTCCTGGTTCCTGTCATCAGGGTCTATGATAAAGAGCTTTCATTTCACCTCTAATAAAACAACACAGGAAGGCGCACAAATCCCCCTGCGCATGTTTGAACCCTCTCTCCTACCCCCCTCCAGCCTGTTAATCCTTCTTTATCTTTTCCTTTATTACTTATAACTTTTCCCCTACTTTCATCTCTATGACCCCATTTTATCTTCCCATTATTTACCCTGTCGCTCTACCCCATGTCACCCCCATGTGTCTCCTCTTCCTGTCTATTACCTATTCCTCTAATTCCAATCTGTTTCCTATCCTTCTACAATCGACACCATCGGTCTTACTTCTCATTTCTCTGCTCTCTCCTATTTCACTCATTAAACTAATATTCTGCTACTGTCAATATTGCTCCCACAGTTCTCAATCCCACTCTTTCCCAAATTCAACCTTTACCCAGTCTCTGTATAACCAACACTATACCCAGTCTCTGTATAACCAACACTATACCCAGTCTCTGTATAACCAGCGCTATACCCAGTCTCTGTATAACCAGCATAATACCCAGTCTCTGTATAACCAACACTATACCCAGTCTCTGTATAACCAGCGCTATACCAAGTCTCTGTATAACCAGCACTTTACCCAGTCTCTATATAACCAGTTATATTCCGTATAACCAGAGCTAGCCTATACCCAGTCTCTGTATAACCAGCTTTACCCAGTCTCTGTTTTACCAGTCTCTGTATAATCCATATGGCAATAATCATATCTAGGATTACTAGTAGCTAAGATTAAGTGGCTCAGTGTTAGAATGTTTTGGTTTAGGGGAACCTAGCATTAAAGGGAAACTCTAAGCACCAGAACAACTTTAGCTTAATGAAGTGGTTTTGGTGTATAGATCATGGCCCTGCGGTCTACCTGCTCAATTCTCTGCCATTTAGGAGATGTGTATGCAGCCCTAGTCACATCTGCCCTGGCTGAGAACCACACTGCCTCCGTACACACTACCTGATTAAAGAGCTGAATTCTTTTAACACCCCTTTCTGCACACTTTGTTTAATTTACACTTTCTGAACTCCTGCCCGGTTAATCACCTGCTAGATCCTGAAGGCTAAGCAGCACAGAATTAAGCAGTGAAATGACTGCTGCATGATCTATACACCAAATCCGCTTCATTAAGCTAATGTTGTTTTGGTGCTTAGATTATCGTTCAAGGTTCTGTAGACGGTAGCTCCCATGATTATCAACCAAGCAAACCTCCAATGATATTATTGTAGTGAAACTATAGCATCATTATTAATTACATCAGTAGTGTATAAATAATAAAAGTTTTCTGGAATGTAATTATTTTATTATAATGCAAACTACAGCAGGCACGCTTCTATAAAATGTATACAGTCTGTGGAAGTTTGCTCCTCCGAGGCATCCTGAGCCCTGTTTGATTCTGTGAATTTTCCCAAGTGATGGAAAAGACGGGTCTTATATACGATTTATTTATGCTTTATTTTAACGGTTGTGTTTAAAAAAAACATTAGCACAATCACAGCCTTTGTTACAGGAGTTAGTTGACATAAGACGTAAATGTCACTTTCAACAAAAGCACTATTATAGGATCATTTACACCTATTTATTAATGAGATGTATTGTGCAATCACTGACTGTCCTCATTCTCACTCCCTGATTTATAACTCCGGACATTTATAAAGAAAACGTGGCTAAACTAACAGAAAGCCTATCCTCTTTACTAATGCAAATTTACTTACAACGTAAAAATAGAACTATTGGTGAGGTGAGTTATTTTGGGATATTTGGTCCATCCTTTATTTTCATCTCATATTTCACTGTGCATGCAGGAATTAACACTGAACAAGTTACACCATAATTATAAGAATGACGTGGAAAAAAGTCTCTGCAGAATAATGGAAATGACATCACTCTCATGTGATTGAGCGCTCACTACTAAGATCAGTTGAACTATAACAGATCTTATATAAAGTATTCTTCAAAGTGATAGTCAAAGGAAAATGATGTTAGACACTTAGAGGACATTACCCCCCTCCCGCTCCCCCCACACACACACTCACACAGACACATACAGACACGCACACTGTTTTAGATGGCAATGTTACATAGTGGCACGGTCGGAGAAAGCATTCCAAGTTGGAAGAAACCTTATGTGAGATCATTTGTTTTGAAAACATCTCTATAAAATTGGGCTGTAAAAAAAGGAGCAGCCGTCATGTCACTAAAATTCTTGTTTATGTAAACTAAAGAGTGAGGAGTGACTGTCAAAGGGACGGTGACATTAATTTCCAGAGAGACAGGAAATTAGAAATGAGGTAACAAGAAGGTCAGACATTCTCTCGATTTCCCTGTGGTGTCATTTTATGGGAAATAATTAAATCACTAGTCTCCAGTTAAACAGATTAGCTGTCTGTTATCAGTGGAGAGAGATCTGTGCTACTTAAGAGTTTAAACATGATGTCAATTAGCCAAAATTGTTTTAACCCAATGACAAGTAACCATGATTTCCCATGATGCTTAGCAAACCTTATGGAAGGTTGAGCATCATGGGAAATGTAGTTGAGAAACTCTCTACAACATAGGTGATAAACTGTGGTCCTGCTGATGCTGGACCTCATTTCCCACAATTCCATGGATCTTATTTAAAATTTAGCACCAGAACAATATTGCCGAGATGTATGTCATTGTTTTTGCTGAAAAAGTAATGTCTAGTTTGTGTTGAATTTTTGTGTAAAAGTCTTCTGTTTATGATATATGTGGGTAATGTTATGTTTGCTGCTGAAATCATATAAATTATTAGAGAATGTGTTTTTCCCTGATACTATGTAGAACAGTTGACCGTCTTTAGCCAGGTAACTGTACTTACATGCATAAAATAGATGGATGGACAAAAAGAGCATTAATCATTAACTAGTGTCAAAGTATATGGAAAGATAGGTGCCAATGTATAAGGAACAGTACAGTACTATAACAATGGAACAATATAGGAAAATTGATTATTTAAAAAAAAAAAAAAAACTTTTATTTTATTTAATTTTTTTAATAGACTCTCACTACTGTCCCTTTTTTTTTTACTAGGGAATGCCCAATAATTTAATTAACCATTCATCAACTGAGAAGAAAACTGTCACATTAAAAAAAAAAAAAAAGACTTTGTATTATCTGGGCATAATGTCTTAAAAATATACCTATCATCTGTGACAGGGTATTCAACATGGAGATCACCTGGCCTGTCGAAACACCTCTCCCAAGATGCTTTGCCAGCCTTAGCTCCAGGTTGTGCTACTTCCTATCCCCCATACATTGCGACTTAGAGAATTGATCCAGTTTGGCTATTTTGACTTGAAAGGAATACTCCAGGCACCATAACAACTACATCAGAATGAAGTTATGGTGCCAGGAGTTCCCTTGCGCCAGCTTACCTTCAGGGGCAAAACCATTATCTGGGAGTGAGAAAATTGAATAAACAAATGAAACAAAATGAAGTAAAATGAGAATTTCAGAGTATTATTGTCTATTTATAATATTCTATTATAACATGCTAGAATGGCTATCTTGTTACTTGTTTTCTGTTTCTAACATATATAACATATATAATAATTTAGAGAGAGAGAAATAAAAATATGTATAAATGTATATATATATATATATATATATATATATATATATCTATCTAATCCAAGCTATAGTTCTAATACTTAACCAATGCTCTCATTTTCTTGCTGTGCATCTAACAAGGGGCGGAGAGACAGCCAGGTACAGGTGACAGGTGAGAATTAATGAGGCTCTCTGATTGGCTGACTTGTCCTAGAATGTCGTAATACCTTTCACTGCTGCACCTGTTAAATGCAAAGCACTTCACTAGCTCTCTCTTAACCGTTTTGGATTGTCTTGGGGTTGGATCAGACTCTCTTGTTTATTCTCTCAGCCTTTAAAAGTAAGTGTTCTCTGTAAACTGACATGATACAGCTGGATTAAATCATAATGTTTATATATCTATAGATTATAGATTACATGTCAGATTTTCCTGGACACTGCTGGTCTTTGAACATTGATACTTTGTCTATGGTGTATGTATAGCAGGGGAGAACTTTTCCTGTGTAGCACATTAATGTGATCTGTGTCCTGGGAAACCTGAGGATCTCATATGCCTGGGTTTTATCCTAAACCTTGTAATAACTAGATCTAAACTACTTCTCTTCTAATTAAGAGAGAGGGTATGGGTAGTTTATTTAATGGTAAAGTGTC